AGAGTGTGTGTGTGTGTGTGTGTGTGTGTGTGTGTGTGTGTGTGTGTGTGATCAAAGGGTGAACCAGGTCTGGCAGGCCCTGCTGGTCCTCCGGGACAAGTGGGAGAGCAGAAGAGACCCCCAGAGACGGAGATCCAGAGAGGAGATAAGGTAATACAGCCAGAGACACCGACACTACATTATATACACACAACATTTATTCCTTTCGATCAGTTTTTCAGACGTAAAGTTTTTCTATTCAATCTGCTGCAGAGCTTTTTTAGAGATGATCTGAGCAGTGAAATCGAAGAAAATGCAAAGTTAAATAGTTGGAAGGACACAAAATGGACTTGAAATATGGCAGCCAAAGCACAAACTAGCCTAATTTAACTAAGAGAATTTGTTCAAATGTACAATGCAATAAATGTTTCCATCAGAAGAAAACATGAACAAGCAAAAAACAATATCTACACAGATTATTTTAAGATACGTTTCCTTATAAGTCCTTTTCAAACTGCTAGATGCTGCTACTTTCACTACAGCCACTGGATGGCAGCAGATATGTATTGCACCTGTTGCTCCTACAGAAATCCAGTAATAGTTCAAAGAATGACGTCCAATGTCTTTCCTTCTGTGTGGACGGCAGAAACATGAGGTCAATATATTATGTATGAGCAATGAATTGTGGGATGGTCAATTGAATAATGGATAAAGAAGTGCACCCTATGCTAAAGGACGTACAAGGTAAATTTATTAAGCATTTACGAATGTTTTTGATGATTTTTTGTATTTTGGATGATGCATAAAACCTAGAAATCTGTTGCACCATTGATCGTACAAAATTTAGTTTTTTTTAAAAGTCTTAATTCCCTGATAATGTTTCTTGGAGCGGTTATATTGAAACTTTGATCCTTTTGTCTGCAGGGAGACCCCGGTCTTCAAGGTTTTCAAGGTGATCCAGGATATCCAGGAGCCCCTGTAAGTATCTGTTGTATATCGACATATAAAATATGTAATGTGAACATTATAAGAATATATCTCAACGTGAAACTTGTTTTTGATGTTGTAGGGTCCCTCAGGAGGCCAGAAAGGAGGCAAGGGAGAAGCAGGAGATGCAGGCAAACGAGTGAGTACACATCACAGATATATTTCTCATTTTGACTTATTATGAGGACAAGTATTTTCCCATCACTTCTGTATGTCCAACCCCAGCCTTTTCATACAGTTAAACTTTCTTCTAAAGATGTCAGTATGCTTCAGAGAACTTTCTTGAATCGTCTAAAAGCAGCAAGAACTCCTCTTCCTATAAGTGTGCGCCAAAAGAGAAAAACATCTCCATACTCGTATCATTAATTAAGTCAATTCCACAAAGACACACTAAAGAATCTGAATTCTCGAAACAAGCAGCGGGATGCAGCCAAAAGGAAGCTACCATTACAGATCACATCTTATACAGACATATTTATTCAAAATGGTGTCCTATTTCATTGGACTGATGAAGCGTTAACAATCAACCTTTTACTGAACAAGCACAAGTAGATGCATTTTCAAAAATATCTTCACTTGTCAAGTCTAAACTAAGGAAGGCGGACCTTTTCAAGCTTTTATTTAAGTCCATACAGAACCTACATGTCTTTCTTGACCTCAATACTGATCAAAATGTTTCTTCTATCCGCAGGGCAAAAACGGAAAAGATGGCGACCCCGGTGGTCCAGGCTTCCCCGTGAGTATTACCAACAAACAAGACGATTCATAACTCTTTAAAAAAAAAAATCTCTCAATTGTATTTCTAACTTTCTTTATTCCTTCATCAGGGAGGTAAAGGAGACTCAGGCCAGCCAGGTCCTCCAGGAAGGGATGGAGAGACGGTAGGTTTTCTATAACTATAAAAGTTCAAATCATAAAATGAAATGTAAAACTCGTGTTGTCATTATTGTTTGAATAATGTCCCCGTCTTTCTTTCTTTTTAGGGTTTCAAAGGTGATCGTGGATACCCAGGCCCACCAGGCGTGGTATGTGTTCTACCTTTTGTCCATTAAAATGATCTTAACTTAATTTTCTTATCTTAGATCCACTTTGAAAAGATTCTGCAGGTCTTTATCAACAAACAGTTCAAAAGTGGCTTCTTGGTGCACTACACATTTCTGACCACTAGGTGGAGACATTTGTCTGTATAAAGATTTTCTTTATTTTTGGTGGTAAATGGTGGCAAGATATCCCTCTGTCACACCTTTACTCCATTTGATTACTTCTAAATATGAATATCATTCTTCATTATTACTTTATTTGAATTATTTATTAATACATTGGAATAAATACCTTTTATAAGTCAAACAAGAAGCCTGTGAGAGTTCCTGCTTGTCTTCTAAACGTGTGTTATGTCTCTTCGTCCCACCAGGTGATCGGCTCGCAGCAGGGGGGGCAGGTCGGCCCTAAAGGTGAGCCCGGCTACCCCGGATCACCTGGATACAAAGGAGAGAGAGGACAAGGAGGTAAACACACACACACACACACACACACACACACACACACATTCAAATGTATTACAATACATTTAGGGTTAGGGTTGGCTACATTTCAGAGGCAGATATTGTACTTTGTACTGCAGCAGTACAAAGTACAATATCTGCCTCTGAAATGTAGCCAACCCTAACCCTAAATGTATTGTAATACATTTGAATGTGTGTGTGTGTGTGTGTGTGTGTGTGTGTGTGTGTGTGTGTGTGTGTGTGTGTTTACCTCCTTGTCCTCTTTCTCCTTTGTATCCAGGTGA